CATACATAAAATCTTGAAAGGAAAAAAAAGCTAATCAAGAATCATCTACCCAGCAAAGATGGCAATCAAGTATGATGGTGCAATAAAAACATTCCAGGATAAATAAAAGCTAAGGATCTTGTTAAAGTCAATCTCATGCTTCAATACATCCTAAAGGGAATTCTGTGGACTGAGAACCAACAAGAACAGATAACAACCAGAGATTGACATATGTGGCAGCACTACACAGAACTCAATCGACAAATGGAAGAGTCCAGAACAGAAAAAAACTGTAAGAATGAATTCAGAGGATCTGGGAGGTCAGTCTATGATCAAAACAGTAACAATATGAAAGAAAGTAAAACCACAGAAACAAGATCTAGGTGGTGAGAAGGTTAGGTAGATTACAGGTTAAAATAGATTGTTTTAAATGGAGGGAAAAGTTAATAGACTATTAGGAAACCTCAAAGGAAATTAATACTTCACAACATATCAAAAATGTGAAAATCCAAGAAGAACATGGAAACACTTAAGCTATGAAGAAACTGACAAGAAAGAACACAGAAAACATGAACTCAGCATGGGAAGGCATGCAGAACAAAGAAACCAGCAGCACCACAAAAATTACAAACATGACCTCAATGAATTCATACCTATCAACAATTACACTGACTGTTAATGGATTAAATGCACCAATTTAGAGACAGAGAGTGGCAGAATGGATAAGAAAACAAGATTCTTCAATATGTTGTCTGTAAGAGACACACCTTATACACAAAGACAAAAACAGACTAAAAGTCAAGGGATGGAAAAAAATGTACCAAGCTAATTGCAATAAAAAAACGAGCAAGAGTGGCAGTACCAATCTCTGAGAAAATAAACTTGAAGGCAAAAACCAGCATAATAGATAAAGATGGACATTATCTCATGATTTAAGGGACAATTGAACAAGATGATATAACCCTATTATCTATGCTTCTAATGAAAGAGCTCCAAAATATATAAAGCAAACACTAATAGGTTTGAAGAAAGAGATACAAAGCTACGATAATAATGGGAGATTTTAATACACCGCTTTCAAAAAAGGATAGAACAATCAGAAAGAAACTTGATAAAGACACAGAGGAACTAAACAACACTGGACCTCACAGATGTATACAAAGCATTCAATCCAACAACAACACAATACTTTGCCATTGCACATGGAACATTCTCAGGAATAGTCCATGTGTTAGACCACAAAACAAGCCTCCAAAAATTTACAAACATCAAAATATTATAATGCATCTTCTTCGACCACAATGCTATCAAATTAGAAAACAACAATAGGAATACCAAGGAAATAAAGTCAAATACATGGAAACTAAATAACACCTTGGTGAAAAGCAACTGGGTAGTAGAAGAACTAAAACGTGAATTCACAAAGTTACTAGAAACAAATGAGAAAGAAAGTGCAACATACCAAAATAGCCACACATTAACACAAAATCTCCAACAACTAGAAACAGACCAGCAAAGTAAACCTACAGTCAACAGAAGAAAGGAAATAATAAAGATTAGAGCAGAAATAAACACGATAGAAAATAGAAAAACTATAGAAAGAATCAACAGGACAAGAAGCTGGTTCTTTGAAAAAAATTAATAAATCAACAAACCATTGGCAAACCTAAAAAAAAAAAAAAAAAGAGGGAGAAGACACAAGTAACATGTATAAGAAACCACATGAGTGATGTCACAACAAAGACAGTAGAAATAAAAAGGATAGTAACAGAATATTATGAAGAGTTGCACTCCAACAATTTGAAAATCTAGAGGAGATGGATACATATTTAGAAAAGCACGACCTACCTAAATTTAAACAGAGTGAAGCAGAAAACTTGAAAAGTCCTATAACAAAGGAAGAAATTGACCAGGTCATCAAAAAACTCCCAACCAAAAAAAGTCCAGGTCCAGATGGCTTCACTGTTGAGTTCTACCAAACATTCAGGGAAGAACTTTCTCCAATTCTACTCAAATTATTCCAGAATATAGAAGAGAATGGAAAAATTCCTAATACATTCTACGAAGCAAACATAACTCTCATACCAAAACCAGGGAAAGACATCACTAAGAAAGAAAATTATACACCAGTATCCCTCATGAACATAGATGTAAAAATTCTCAACAAAATCCTAGCCAACAGAATTCAGCAACACATCAAGAAAAAGAATATATCATGACCAAATGGGATTCATATCAGGGATGCAAGGATGGTTCAACAGTAGAAAAACAATGAACATAATAAGTAAGAAAAAGGAAAAGAACCACATGATCATATCAATTGATGCAGAAAAAGCATTTGACAAAATCCAACATCCATTCCTGATAAAAACACTCAACAAAGTAAGAATTAAAGGGAGATTCCTCAACATAATTAAGACCATATATACAAAACCAACAGCCAATATTTAGTTTTCTCAATGGAGAGAAACTAAAAGCCTTCTCTTTGTGAACAGGAACCAGACAAGGATACCCTTTATCACCACTCCTATTCAATATTGTTTTGGAGTCGTAGCCAGAACTATAAGGCAAGATAGAGAAATTAAAGGCATCCAAATTGGCAATGAGGAAGTAAAAATCTATTTTCAGATGATATGATCTATACTTAGAAACCCCAAAGACTCAGCAAAAAAATACTAGAACTCATTGGAGGATCCAGCAAAGTGACAGGGTACAAAATCAACACACAAAAATCAGTTGGCTCCTATTGACCTGGAGATGAGAGAGAGAAGAGGAAGGGCTGGTTGGTCCAAAGTGTGGTGAGACCTGGGGACTCCTGAGCCCATGGACAAGGACATATCCATAGAGGGTTAGAGCCTAGAGTTGAAGCATCCAGCTGATATGAAGTGAGAGGCGATGCACAAGAACATGCAAACTTGCAGACAGTACCCATTTGACCTAGCTTCAATGGCTCGATAATGAGAACTCGACTTGTTGTTTGTGGTTAGGTGCCATCGAGTTGGTACTGACTCATAGAGACCTTATGCACAGCAGAACGAAACACTGCCCGATCTTGGGCCAACCTCACAACCTTGCTTGCTGAAAGTGAAGACTTGAAATATTTACTGATGAAGATCAGAGACCACAGCCTTTGGTATGGATTGCATCTCAATGTAAATAAAACAAAAATCCTCACCACTGGACCAATAAACAACATTCATTATTATTCAAAGAGGAGCTTATTTAATAGTGTATGGGGAAAGAAAGAGTCCCCACTGAATAGTTTTCATCTTGTCTAGACGGGTCTGGTGAAAAGAGATGGGGATAAGATTCTTAGGATTCAACAGTAATTGTTACAATGACTAATTGAGACTATCACAACTGTAAAAACAAAAACGGGGGAGTAGTTAATCTTATAGTCCAGAAACAGAGGACACTAGGACCATCAAGGGAGAAGAGCACAAGCAGAAACGGGGGAGTAGTTAATCTTATAGTCCAGAAACAGAGGACACTAGGACCATCAAGGGAGAAGAGCACAAGCAGAATGCGGGACTCTTTCCAGAGAAGCAGTGACACCAGAGATGGAGGCAGAGATGAGGACGTAGAAAAAGAGAGGAGCTAAGGACTCTAGACTCATGGAAAGAGAAAGACTGAGTGCTGGTGGCCAGGAAGCAGGCTTATAGAATGTGCCCTTTGGTTATTTAAATTATTATATATTCCTGAGTGTTTCTGTGTACATTCCCCCCTACCAAAATACAAACAAAGGCAATGGAAGCAAATACTGTTGAATGATGATGCACGGAGGAGATTATAACCATTGAAAGATGATGTTCTCCCATGTAAACTATCACTCAGTTCATAACCAAAAATTTTTTAAAAAACAACCAATGAGGTCCACCAGGTGTTGTACCTCTTTTTCCATTATGGGACGGGCCAGATGCAACAATTTATCCTTTATTTTAATAAGAATGTCTCAACAAACCTCATACCACTGAGTCCCTAGAAATTTCAATGAGGTGGAAAGTGCCTGAATTTTTGTTGGGTTAATTTCCCACCCTCTAGCACACAGATCCACCACTCATCTGTCAGTTTGTCACACAGTGTTGGCTTACATGTTGTTGTGATTCTGGAAACTAATACTATGTTGAACAAATAATCTAAGAAGCTGAATTATATGAAGAAAAACGTGGCGTCAGGATTGGAGGAAGACTCATTAACAACCTACTATATGCAGGTGATACAACCTTGCTTGCTGAATGCCAAGACGACTTAAAATACTGACTGATGAAAATCAAAGACCACAACCTTCTGTATAGGTTGCATCTCAATGTAAAGAAAACAAAAATCCTCACCAATGGACCAATAAACAACGTCCATATAAATGGAGAAAGACTGAAGTTGTCAAAGTCTTCGTTTTGCTCAGATCAACCATCAGTACTCATGGAAGCAGCAGTCAAGAAATCAAATGATGTATTGCATTAGGCAAATCTGCTGCACACGACCTCTTTAAAGTGTTCAAGAGCAAAGCTGGTAGTTTGAGGACTAAGGTATACCTGACCCAAGCCATGGTATTTTCAATAACCTTATATGCATTTGAAAGTTGGACAGTGAATAAGTATGACCACAGAAGAACTGACCCATTTGAGTTATGGTGTTGGGAGGAGAATATTCAAAGTACCATGGCCTGGCAAAAGAACAATTCCATCTGTGTTGGCAGAAGTACAATCAGAGTGCTCCCTGGAAGTCAGGATGGCCAGACTTTAACTCTCATACTTTGGTTATCATCAGGAAGTATCAGTCACTGTAAAGGGATATTGTGTTTGGTAAGGTGAAGGGTCAGAGAAAAAGAGGAAGACCTCCAGCATGATGGACTGACACAGTGGCAGCAGCAATGGGTTCAAAAGTAGTAACGATTCTGAGTTTGGCCCAGGACCAGGCAATGTTTTGTTTTGTTGTGCATAGGGTCACCATGAGTCTGTACCAACTCAACGGCACCTAACAACAACAACAGCATTACTATGTTCCAAGCACTTAGCACGCCTATGACGATGCTTCCAGGAAGGTGCCTTAGTTATCTAGTGCTGCTAGAATAGAAATACCAAAAGAGAATGGCTTTAACAATCAGAAGTTTATTCTCTCAGAGTTTAGGAAGCTAGAAGTTTAAACTAAGGGTGTCAGCTCTAGGGGAAGACTTTCTCACTCTGCTGGCTCTGGGGGAATGCCCTTGTCTCTTTCTAGCTCTATTCCTTGATAATCATGGTGATCTTCATGGGGCATGGCATCTACCTTTGTTTTTCTGTCAGTCCCAATCTGCTCTTTTTATATCTTAAATATGACTGGCTTAAAGCACACTCAGTCCTAATATAGCCTCTTAACATAACAAAGAAAATTCATTCCCAAATGGAATTATAACACAGAAGATATTATTATCCTCCATTTAAAGCACAAAGGAGTCCATAGCCTTGCCCAAGTCAGAAAGCTAAGAAACAGGTTTCAAACCAAAGGATCTGACTCCAATGTCAGCATTCACCATCATTAAGGTTCCAGTTTCTCTTGAGGCCAGAGCACCACACGGGAGTTGGAGAAGGCAGGATAAGGTCACAGTTATTCTCAATATTCTGTGTCCTTCCTAGAAAACCACCAACTGTGGACATGTCGTAAAACCTCCTCTGAGCCAGAAATGAGGCTGGTGAGCTCTGCTGTGAAGGCAGCTCTCAATGCAGCCCAGTGACTCAGCTCTAAGTCCCAGATGATTCTTCAGCCCCAGCCATCAAGCCATAAATTCCCCACAACCTCTCCCTACCTCTCTTTCTGTCCAAGGTCCGTGCCACCTCCCACCAAGGAGAAGCAAGCAGCTAGATTCCTACTGTTAACAACCCCAGTGCTGTTAGGAAAAGCAAAGGGCTGAAATTTAAATATTCATCAGGAGGGGTTTAGTTAGGTAAATTACCTGGTTGGTTAACTATAATCAATTGTATATTGTTGCTGTTAGTGCCCCATTGAGTGGGTTCTGACTCATAGCAATCCTACATAGAACAGAAGGAAACACGCCCAGTCCTGCACCATCCTCACAATTGTTGTTTGAGCCCATAATTGCTGCCACTGTGTCAATCCAGCTCCTTGAGGGCCTTCCTCTTTTTCACTGACCCTCCACTTTATCAAACATGATGCCCTCCAGGGATTGGTTCCTCCTGATAACATGTCAGAAGCATGAGAGATGAAGCCTCACCATCCTGGCTTCTAAGGAGCATTCTGGCTGCACTTCTTCCAACACAGATTTGTTTGTTATTTTGGTAATCCATGATGCTTTTAATTTTCCTCTCCAGTACCACAACTCAAATGCTTGATCTTCCTTATTCACTGTTCAACTTTTATATGCATATGTTGTTGTTACGTGCCGTGGAGTCGGTTCCAACTCATAGCGACCCTGTACAGGGTTTCCAAGGCTGTAAGTCTTTAAGGGAGAAGAAAGCCTCATCTTTTTCCCATGGAACAGCTGGTAATTTTGAACTGCTGACCTTACAGTTCTCAGCCCAATTCATAACCACTACACTATCAGAGCTGCATATGAGGCTATTGAAAATACCATGGATTGGGTGAGACACACCGTAGTTCTCAAATTGATACCTTTGCCCTTTAAAAACTTTAACAGATCTTGTGCAGCAGATTTGCCTAACGCAATATGTCACTTGACTTCTTGGCAGTTGCTTCCATGAATGTTGATTGTGGATCCAAGCAAAATGAAATCTTCAATAACTTCAGTCTTTTCTTCATTTATCATGATGCTATTTGTTGCCCCATGAGGATTTTTGTTTTCTTTACATTGAAGTGCAATCCATAAGGAATGCTATAGTCTTTGATCTTTTAACAGTAAATATGTTAAATCCTCTTTGCTTCCAGCAATCTAGTTTGCATCATCTGCATGTGGCAGGTTGTTAATGAGACTTGCTCCAATCTTGATGCCATGTTCTTCTTCATATAATTCAGTCTCTCAAAGTATTTGCTCAGCCTGCAGATTGAGTAAGTATGGTGAAAGGATACAACCCTGGCACAAACCTTTCCTGATTTTAAACAATTCAGTATTCTCTTGTTCTGTTTGAATGACTGCCTTTTGGTCTACATACAGGTGTCTTATGAGCATAATTAAGTGTTCTGGAATACCCATTCTTCACAATGTTATCCAAAGTTTTTATGATCCACATAGTCAAAAACCTTTGCAAAATAAATAAGGCACAAGTAAACATCTTTCTGGCATTCTCTGCTTTCAGCCAAGATCCATATGACATCAACAATGATATCCCTAAATTCCACATCCTTTTCTGAATCTGGGTTGAATTTCTGACAGTTCCTTGTTGATGTACTATTGCAACTGTTTAAAAATTATCATCAAAATTTTACTTCCATGTGATATTAATGATAATTTTTTAATGAATTCCACATTTGGGTGAGTCACCTCTCTTTAGAATGGTCACAAATATGGATCTCTTCCAAATGGTTGGCCAGGTAGCTGTCTTCCAAATTTCTTGGCATAGATGAATGAGTGCCTCCAGTGTCTCACCAATTTGTTGAAAGATTTCAATTTGTATTGGCATTTCTAGCATAGTAAACAATCTGATTACCTGATTAAAATGGTCAATACTAGTCCATTTCAGCTCACTAATGCCTAGGATATTGATCTTTATGGATTCTATTTAATTTTTGAAAACTCCCAATTTTCCTAGAGTCATACTTTGTACATTCCATACTCTGATTATTAAGGATGTCTGCGGCTGTCTCGTCTCATTTTGAGCTGTGCCCCTTCAGCAAATGAAGGTCCCCAAAGTTTTGCTCCAGTCATATCACTATGGTCAACTCTACTTTGAGGAGGCAGCCTTTTCCCCAGTCAGATTCTGGGCTTTCAACCTAAGGGGCTCATCTTCCAGCACTATAGCTGACACTGGTTTCCTGATATGGATTAGGTTTTCAGTGGCTAACCATTCAGAAGTGAATGATTAGCCTTCTTCCTGGTCAGTCTTAACCTGGAAGCTCAGAGGGAACTTGTCCACCATGGGTGACACTGCTGGTATTTAAAATACCAGTGGCAAATCTTCCAGCATCACAGCAACAAGCAACTGGTGGCAGCTGCATTAAGGAAGTTCTCTAAGTTCTTTAGGTGCTAAGATGAAATAACCTTAAAAACACAATGCTCGCTAAAAAGCACACGGTGCACACCTGCACGTCTACTGTGCTATCTCATTTACGGAGGGAAAGAAATAGAAAGAGAGAGTGTGGGTATATGTACATATTTGTCTGAACATACATAGACTTTGGTGACTCCATACAATAAGCACTTAAATGTGAACCGCAAGATCTGAGGTTCAAGCCTGCCAGTCGCTTCAGAGGAGAAAGACGAGGTTTTCTGATCCTTTGAAGATTTAAGACCTTGGAAACCCTATACAGGGTCACCATGAGTTGGAGCCAACTCAAAGACACTTTAACAACAATACCATGCATAGACTGGAGTCTTGGTGTGGCATGTCGAATAAGCACAGTACTGCTAACCCACCAGCTACTCCTGGTTCAAACCCTATACAGAGCTGCTATGAGTCAGAACTGATTTGACAGCACTTAACAACAACATATATACATATATATAAATATTTATATATATAAGCTACCTATGAAAGAACACACAAGAAACTGATGACACCAGTTGCCTCCATGCAGAGGAACTGGGTAGCTGGGAATTGGAATGCCTTCTCACTCACTATAACTTTTGTTCCTTTGAACATCTGTGCCATGTAAATAGAGTATATGCCTATTTTAAAAAGACAAATAAAAGGAAACTTTAAAATATCATAAATAAGCTGTGTGTGTGTGGGGGGGGATTATATATGTCAGTGAGTTACTGATGACATCCCTCCCCGCAGGGCCTGGAAGAGAATCTTCTGGTTGCTGATTCTACTTACACTTTGTACCATAAGCCTGCTCCAGTATGGGCTCCTTATAATCAGGTACAACCCCCTCCCCAGTACTCAAGGTGGGACCACTAGGATGAGATCCTAAAGATCTACTTGTTAAGTGCCTCCTTAAGGGCTAGAGGGTGGTGGCCACCTCAGCCCAGGACAGTGGTCCTTGTGGGAGCATTGTGGGAGCTCCTTTGAGACAGACTGGCTCACTGCCGACCCCACCCCACAGGCAACTAGAAGCTCTCATCCCCATGGGTGTCTGCACTGCAGGCCAAATGGCCCTACTGAGTGACAACTTCACTGGTCCCCTGCATCCCTGGTAAGGAGTTATCACCCCTCCCACCCCCACAATGCTCAATGGCCTTGCCCAGCTCATCCCAAGTATCCCTGAACATCTCATGTCCCCCACCCTGGCAGAGCCAGGCACTCATTCCACCAGCCCTAGAAACCTCCCCAGGGCCCACATCTCCCAGTCCTATATTTTTCTATGCTGTCTCTGTGCACAGGCTGCTCAGGGCAGAGACAGGGTCTGATTCATCTGCAGGTCTTCAGGGCCCTGCACGGAGAGGTGGAAGTAAGCAGGCACCAAGTGAGCAGATTGATAAACCTGCTTCCCCAACCTGTCCCAACCAGGGCCAGGCCTGAAGTTCTGACCTGCACCGCCTGGGGGGCCCCCATTATTTGGGATGGCACCTTTGACCCAGCTAAGGCCCACCAAAAGGCTAGACAGCAGAACTTCACCATTGGGCTGACTGTCTTTGCTGTAGGAAGGTAAGGTCTGGGGAGGGGAGAGGGTTCTGTCCAAGCAGGGAATAGGGTGGGGTGCTTATGGGGTGCAAGGTGGAGGGGGGCACCTGTTTCCATGTGCCATGGAATTCCAAGGAGCAGTAGGAGGCAAATGCAGCACCCAGGGTAGGACCATCTTCCATCATCCTCTGGACGTGAATACTATTAAGCCCACTCATCACAGCCAGGAACTCAGAACTCTGTCCTAGAACAAAGCTGCCTAGGAGCTGAAGTTGGTCAATCTAGAGGCACTGGTGAGTTTCAGGTAAGAGTCATGAGACAGGAGAGCAACTGGGTACATAGAATGGATGAGCTGGCTGTAGTGAATACCTATGGGAGGTCAGTGGCTTAGGGGCAGGCACACAGCACAGCACTTCATCTCTAATAAAGGTAGAGGAGAATGTTCAGGGGCTATCCAAGTTAGTGAGTCAGAAGATTGGGTGAAGAGGATGCTCACAGAGTGGGGTGGGTGAAGGTACAAATGTGGATGTAGGAGAGGTGCTTATGAGGGCCAAGTGGAGGGAGTGGCCACAGACGCAAGTAGCTGAGAGTGAAGAAGAGAATCTCTGTAGACATGAACGAAGAACTGAGTGGCCAGCACAATGGATGGCCGATAAGTATGAGAAGTAAACAGGAATGCTAGGAAATGGTGGAAATGTTAAACTGCCCATTATGTATGCAAAGGGGTGTCCAAGGTCCCCTGGGAGGTAAGGGGGTATATAGAACCAAGAATTGACCTATAGACCCAGTGGGTGAAACTGCTGGGTTGCTTGGGCAAGGGCTCTGTGGGAGCTTCAGTACCCCCACTTCTGTCACACGTGCTTTGTGCACCAATCCTACACGCCAGAGTCTTAGGTCCAGAAACTCCAGGGTCCCGAAGTCTAAGAAACCACATTCCAAGATTTCTGTGACTATCCTCTAGGATTCTGAGGTTTCCATGAGAAACTAAGCAAATATAGGTAAAGAAACAGGCTTAGATTTGAAATTCATCAGTAAATTAAAATCCTGGTGCTACCACTTACTGAATATATTTGTACAAGTTACTAAGGCTTTTTGTCTATTTAGTTATCTTAAAATTGAAAATCATTATAAATTGTGAGGATAATACACAGACTTAAAACAATTCATATGATAAATGTTCAAAAACATGTGGCATTACTACACTTATTTTTAAACTCTAGGATCCTAAAGGTGGCTCTGTAGGATAAGCACTGGACTGAGAATCTCAAAGCCCATGGTTTGAGTGAGTCCACTAGCTGCTCTATAGGAGAAAGATGAGGCTTTCCGCTCCCCTAAAGATTTACAGCCTCTAAAGCCCTATACAGAGTCCCTATAAATCAGAACTAACTTGAAAGCAGGTTCTGTTAGTATTTCCTGTATCATAAATTGTTCTGGTAATCTATGTAAGGAATTACCCCAAATTTAAAACAATTTATGACTAGATTTAAAATAATTTGAGTACGTTTCATGATTTTGAGGACTCGTCTTTGCTCTAAAATACCAAGACCTTAATTGAGATACTAACTGCTGAAGACCGGGGGTGGTAGGGAGCATCTCTCCACACGTCCTTTCTACATGGCTTCCTTCTTCACGGCATGGAGGCACCACAATTCTAGGGAAGCTTTATTGTTGTTAAGTGCTCTTGAGTCAGTTCCGACTCATAGTGAGTCTGTATTGGGTTTCCGAGGAGCGGTTGGTGAGTCTGAACCGCCAACCTTGTGGTTCAAACCGACTTTGCAGTCCAAAGCCTAATCTCACAGTCACATCAGGACTTGTAGGGAAGCTTGGTGGTGGTGGTGATGTGCCGTGGAGTCGGTTCCGACTCATAGCGACCCAATGGTAGGGGGTGTCCGAGGCTCTAAGACTTTACGGGAACTGAAAGCCTCATCTTTCTCCCACGGAACCGCTGACAGTTTCGAACTGCTGTCTGACTCGTAAGCACTACACTACCAGAGTTTTGCGCTCTTTTAAAAAGACAAGGGCTAATGTTGCCAGGTCTCCTGAAAGCTGGCATAGCATCACTTCCTTGGTATTCGATTGATTTAAACCATCACAGACAAGCCCCTAGTCAAAGGAAAGTCCACGAATCCCCAGCTGAGGCAATCTTCGGTCCTCTCTAATCTACCAAATCAAGACTGAAAGACTCAAGAAACCTGGCGTTACCGGGGCTTATGGAGGTGGGATTTGTGGCAAAAGAATCAGGCAGTCAAGGGAGCAAGGCTGTGCGGGCGGGCAGGCGAGTTCAAGCCGACTTTGGTTCGCAGCCCCTCTCCTCTCTTTTTCCCATCTTACCGGCAGGTATCTGGAGAAGTATCTGGCGCGCTTCTTGGAGACAGCCGAGCAGCATTTCATGGTGGGCCAGCGCGTGGTGTACTATGTGTTTACAGATCGCCCTGACGCCGTGAAGCACGTGACGCTTGGCAAGAGGCGACGGCTGCGCTTGGAGCACGTGAAACGGAAGCAGCGCTGGCAGGACGTGTCCATGGGGCGCATGCGTACGCTTCACGAAGCGTTGGGCGGACAGCTGGGCCGCGAGGCGCAATTTGTGTTTTGCATGGACGTGGATCAGTACTTCAGCAACGCTTTCGGGCCTGAGACGCTGGGCGAGTTAGTGGCGCAGCTGCACGCCTGGCACTACCACTGGCCGAGGTGGCTGCTGCCCTTTGAACGCAGTGCGCTCTCGGCCGCCGTGCTGGCACCTGCTGAGGGCGACTTCTACTACCACGCGGCTGTTTTCGGGGGCAGCGTGGCAGGGCTGCGTCAGCTGACAGCACACTGCACGCAGGCCATGGAGCGGGACCAATTGCGCGGCTTGGAGGCGGTCTGGCACGACGAGAGCCATCTCAACAAGTTCTTCTGGCTGCACAAGCCCACCAAGGTGTTGTCGCCTGAGTTCTGCTGGAGCCCGAAAATCGGCCAGCGGGCAGAGATCCACAGCCCGCGCCTGCTCTGGGCTCCCAAGGAGTACACCCTGGTGCGCAACTAGCAATCAGAGCCTGGGCCCTCTTCCCTGGAAACCCACCCAGGCCTGCTGAAGTCTGGCCAGCTGGGGCACCACTGACATTCCGATGGAGTGGAATAACAGGAAATGGAGAACCTGGAGCCAGAAGGGGTTCCTTCAGAAAGCACCGCACTTTAGGGATAGGGATGAGCAGAGAGAGATTGGGCAAAAGATCCTCGCCCCTACCATGGTGGAAAGGGCAGGGAGAAAGATTATGACCTCCAGGAGCTTCTGACTTGATTGAAATAGCTTCTCTCCACCCTTCCCTTCAACACAAACTGCAACGGGACTTCTGCTAGTATCCTGTAGACCTTTCGCCTCTGACCTTGTTGAATGCATCTGAGGCCTGAAGGGATGTTTTAGCCACAGTTTTTGGGTAAGAAGTCTGAGATCCAAAGAACATAATTGCCTAAAGACACAGAAGATAGACGTATGAGTTACTTTGTGATGTCATCCATAGGGAACCTGTTGGGAACCAGGACTGGCACCTCAGGCTGCATAGAGCTGCCTTTAGGCATGAGCTAAGACAGAAAAGGCATGGGGCCATGGCTTTGCCCTTTATCTTCATTGTCCATAAGCATAGAATCTCTACGTATTTAACTAGCATTTGATCCATTCGTTTGTTAGATATAAGGTTGCCATGAGTCAAAGCTGAGCAAACAACAAAATTAATTTATTTTGTCCTTATAGCCCTTTCTCTTAGAAGCTCGGAAAGCCACAAAAATACTATTTTCTGCCCTCAAGCCTGGTAGGACTGTTTGGCCACACTCATATAACTCCCTCCCTCCCTCTACCCCTACTTGGTGTTAACTAGTCTTTTCATTGAGAATATGGAAAATCACAGGCTTGGAGTGGAAGTGTGAAGTCCTCTGGCCCTTCAGGAAAGATGGCTTCTTTCTCTGGACACAAAGCCCAGGAGATTCGGAAAGTAACCACTGGGAGGCCCTAAGATGTCATCTGACATTTGGGCAAACTGGACCCTGAGTGGGTGGACTTCCACTATCCGTCACTTGGGTCCTTTATGTAGTGTGTTCATCGATCTTGTATTTCTACTGTGCTGAGTAGAACTGTACCTGATAATTATGATAATCTGATCATTTTTATAAGCAGATGAGAAGATCTCTCCCCTTTCAACAGCAATGCAAAGTTCACCAGTGCGTCTTAGCCAAACAAGATTGGAGAACCCAGAAGGCCTTTGGGTTCTGAACTAGAGATAAGATTGAGGCCTGCGTGTCTGTTGTTGCTGGAGATGTACAACAGAAAGAAACACTGCCTGATCTTGGACCATCCTCACAAGGGCTATATTTGAGCCCATTGTTGCTGCCACTGTGTCAACCTATCTCACTGAAGATCTTCCTCTTATTTATTTCTTTTTAAACTTTTATGAGTTGAGTGAAGGTTTACAGAAAAGACCATCAGTTTCACATTCAATGAATCTTACACTTTGTTTCATCTCAATGAGTGCAATCCCCTTAATGTAACATCACTTATCTCATTTCCTCCCTATAATTCTTGTTTCCATTCCTCCTCCTTTCTCAACCCTTCTGCATTTTGTCCTTAAGTAAATGCTGCCCTTTTCATCTCTAATAAATGACCATTCGATGGTGGTCACAACTTACTAATGTTTTGTCTTCTGTATATACCTATCTAAGGAACCCTAGTAGAACAGTGTATTGTGGGTTGAATTGCTAACTGCAAGGTTAGTATTTAGAATCTACCAGCTGCTCTGTGGGGGAAAGATGAGGCTTTCTGATCCTATAAAGATTTACAGCCTCAGAAACTATACAGGGTTGTTATGAGTCGAAGCTGATTTGAAGCCAGCATATACCTATATATTGCTTAGCTAGAAATTGAGTTGCAGAGGTGAGTTCAGTTCCAGAACTGAAGGGTGACCAAGGGCCATAGTCTTGTGGTTTCACCAATCATTATCTGAGTTTTGGGTTTTCTGCTTCTCTACCCAGGACCTTCTAATGTAATTTCCTTTTAGAGTAGTTGGTAGTGGTAGCCTGACACCAACTAATTCTGGTATCAAAGATATTGTGATAGTTAAGGTCTTGTGGTTTAGCAGTTATTATTATTAATTATTATTATTCGATTCCGACTCACAGCAACCCTATATAGGGTTTCCAAGGAGTGACTGGTGAGTTTGAACCACCAATCTTGCTGTTCAAACTGACATCACAGTGCAGTGCATTAACCCGCAGCACCACACCTAAGAGGTAGTAATCCCCCATTATGAGATCTTGTATAATGTAATCATGCTCCTATAATGTGATCTCATGTGATCAGCCATGATTTTGTCACAGTTAAAGTGTTGTCCCTGGAACAGCGGTACGTCCTTCCAAAGAATTGGGAAGGTGTAACACACTCTGCACAAAAGAGGTTAGAAAGACAAGAAGCTTAGACAGATAAAAAGGGTTTATTATTCATAGACATTCTTGGTTGTTAGGTGCCATCGAGTCAGTGCCGACTCAGAGCATCCTTATGCACAGCAGAATGAAACCCTGCCCAATCCTGGGCCAACCTCACTATTGTTGCCGCGCTTGAGCCCATTGATGCTGCCACTTGGCCAATCCATCTCACTGGGGTCTTGCTCTTTTTCTCTGACCCTTCACCTTACCAAACATGATATCCTTCTCCAGCGACTGGTCCCTCCAGACAATATGTCCGAAGTATGAGAGATGAAGTTTGGCCATCTTGGCCTCCAAGGAGCACTCTGGCTGTACTACTTCCAACACAGATCTGTTGGTTCTATGGGCAGTCCATGGCACTTTCAATATTCTCCAACACCATAACTCAAAAGGATCAATTCTTCTACGGTCTTCCTTATTCACTGTCCAACTTTCACATGCATATGAGGTAATTGAAAATACCAAGGCTTGGGTCAGGTGCACCTTAGTCCTCAAGCTGATATCTTTGCTTTTCAACACTTTAAAAGGTCTTGTGCAGCAGATTTGCCTAATGCAATATGTCATTTGATTTCTTGACAGCTGCTTCCACGAGTGTTGATAGTTGATCCAAGAAGAATGAAGTCCTTGGCAGCTTCAATCTTTTCTCCATTGATAAGAATGTTGTTTATTGGTCCAGTGGTGAGAATTTTTGTTTTCTTTATACTGAGATGTAATTCATACCAAAGGCTGTGGTTCTTTGAACTTCATCAGTAAATATTTTTTTAAGTCTTCTTCACTTTCAGCAAGCAAGGTTGCTGCATATCACAGGTTGTTAATGAGTCTTCCTCCAATCCTGATGCCATGATTTTCTTCATAGAACCCAGCTTCTCAGATTATTTGCTCAGCATACAGGTTGAATAAGTATGGTGAAAGAATACAACCCTGTCGTACACCTTTCTTAATTTTAAACCATCCAATGTTCCCATGTTCTGTTTGAACAACTGCCTCTTGATCCAGGTACAGATTCCTCATGAGCACAATTAAGTGTTCTGGAGTACTCATACTTCGCAATATTGTCCATAGCTTGTCATGATCCACACAATCAAAAGCCTTTGTATAGTCAGTAAAGCACATCTTTCTGATATTCTCTGCTTTCAGTCAAGATCCATCAGACATCAGCAATGATATCCCTCATTCCACGGCCTCTTCTGAATCCAGCTTGAACCTCTGGAAGTTCTCTGTTAATGTATGCTTGCAGCTGTTTCTGTATTACCTTTAGTAAAACTTAACTCACATGAGATATCAAAGAGATTGTCTGATGATTTCTGCATTCCGTTGGGTCACCCCTCTGTGGAAAACTGGCTTCCCGCTCATAACTGAGGACCCCCAAATACAATTTGACTTTTCCTTTATGTATCTTCCTCTCAGTCGACGGCAGTTAACAACAACAACAGCAGCAGCATGAGCTGTACTCCTGGTTCAAGCATCCAGGCAGCTGATTTGGGGAATTTGTCTAAATATGCTTACTCTAAGTCTTATTTCCCAGTCACATGAGTAGTTTCTTTCCCCTTTAATGCTGAGGTTGGTTTAATTTTTATGCTGAGACAAGCTTTATTGGGTGTGACATGAGACCTTTTTCTAACTGCATAACAATCTGATGTAATTACCCTGTGTGTTGTAAATCCTCACTTCTACAGGATTAGGTTGTATCTTCTTGAGATATGAAAGAGTTTGAACAGGAAGCAGAGCAGAGGCCTCTACTACCACCAAGAAAGAAGAGCTGGAAATGGAGTACATTTTTTGGACCTGGAGTCCCTACACTGTGAAGCTCCTAGATCCAGGGAAAGATTAATGCCAAGACACATGGAAATCTCCAAAGGATTCTGGACTACTAGATGCTAAAAGGTGAGAAGGACCTTTTTCCAGTGCCGATAGAGCTGTCATTCTTTTGGACTTATATCTGAATTTGGACCGATAGTCTCATAAACTGTGAGAAAATGAATTTGTGTTTCTTAAAGCCATTCTCTTGTGGTATTTCTGTTATAGCAGCATTAATGATTAAGACAGTCATCAAGACTGATGTTTGTGTCTCTGTGGAAACTAATTGTTTCCCAGTGTCTTCAGTTGTCTTCACTCTTCTTTGCATCACATAGGGAGAGGTTAATAGTTGCACTTTAGTTGGCTGCTCATGAGTTTTTAAGATCCCAGTTGTTACTCACCAGAGTAGGATGTAGAACACTGTGTTTGTCTATCTTATGCCAGTTGACTACAGTGTCTCCCGAGACTATTGACT